GAGGAGAGCGATTCTCAGTCCTCAGAGGCTTATCCAAGTGTGACAGATACAAACAGCCCGAGTGCCTTCAGAAGTTGGCTGAGTCAAGTGGAAGAGGGCTGACACGGGTGGGAACCAGAAGGCCTGCTGACACAGGAGTGTTATGTCCTGGGGGAAATGCCCGATGGAGGGAAGAAAACACTAGTTTTCTTAGTGAAAACTAAGAAAAACATTAGTGAAAAATAGCTTAGTTATCATACAATTCCACTTAAGATTATCCTAAAAGTTAACAGTGTGGAATATTGTCTTAGATGTTTAAATATACTTCACAGAGGTTGGGAATAATGTTTCAAAGAAACTTGTGACAACATATTCCTGCTGGTATTGAAATATCATGTGTATAAATGTGGCTATCTGAATTAAAACGTATTTGGGAAAAAACAACAAAATAAACATGTGGGACAATGGCCGAGAGAGAAAGCAAGGGAGTAGAAGAGGCGTGAGGAGGTGGGAGTTTCTGGGAGGAGCTGGAAGAGGGGGACATGGTGATCGGAATATATTGTCTGAAAAAGATGTTTAAAAAATAGATATCAGACAGCCAACAATGGCCTCTGTCATGAGAAAGGTACTGCTCTATAAATACAGAAGTTTTCACAAGAGTTCAAGCATTCAAGTGATGTATGTTTCTCTTATTTATTACGTTTACAGTCATGGAAGAGAAAGACTACAGGAATAAGGAGGATCCCAAAGGAACACTGAATAAGTAAACTGTGATGGTACTGTTACTGTTCGATGCTACTGTGACTGTTAGGACCATTCATTTCACTCCTAAACATATACTTCACACACACACACACACACACACACACACACACACACACACACACACCTGCCCCAACCCTGCCCTTGCACATCCTAGGCAAGCACTCCACCACTGAGCCCTCTTATACGGATGCTTAAGAGAGATAAAAGGACCAGAGAAATGGCCACAAGTAAAGGCACTTGCTGTCCAGCCTGACTGCCTGAGTTTAGGCATTGGACCCCACACAACAGAATAAGAGACCAGCTGCCCCAAGTGGTCCAACCTCCACACTCACACCATAGCATGTGCATGACCACCCCACCCCACATACGCTAAATAAATGAATCTGATGAATGCACAGAAACCAGACAGTGGTCTAAAACTGAACTGGAAAGAAAAACAAACAAAAGGAGGAAAATAAAAGTACCCCTTTAGCCAGGTGGTGCCGGCACCCGCCTTTGATCCCAGCATTCGGGAGGCAGATCTCTGTGAGTTTGAGGCCAGCCTGGGCTACAAAGCGAGTTCCAGGACAGCCAGGGCTACACAGAGAAACCCTGTCTCAAAAAACCAATAAATAAATAAATTTTAAAAAGCGTTCCTTTAGAAAATTTGGATACAGATGTTCACAGGAGCATCATCTTCAGTAGCCCAAGGAGAAACAAATCAAATGCCTATGGACTGATGACAGGCTAAAATATGACATATCCACACAATGGAATATTGTTTAACAAGAAGAAAAGTGCTAAATGTGCTATAAAGTGTGACATTTTAATACATGAAAGAAGTTACAAAAAAATAGGTCACGTATTACTTGGCCCTGTTTATATAAGGAATCCAGGGGGGTAAATTTAGAGAGACAGGAAGTAGACTTATGTTTAGACACATTTGAAAGGACAGGAGGTAGAGATTGACTGCTGTGGACTGGGAGGGTGCTCTGGGAAGGATGGAGGGCAATGTGTTAAACTTAGATGGTATGATGACCACACAGTTCTGTGAGTGTTCTAAAGCTATCTACTTGTGTCCTTCAGTCGCCAAATGCTATTGTATACGAATTCTATCTCGACGAAGATGTTTTAAGGGATGCTGATTGCATTAACTTGTTCAAAAATGAGTTGAGCTTTTGGATCTAACTAAAATGGAACACAGCTCTAATTGAATTAGACCAGCAACCTACAGTGAACCTTTGGAAACAGTTGAGGGGTAGGTAAAATCACCCAAGTATGGAAGCCTGAGATGGGCAGAGTGTGACTAGACAGATTATGTCCAATAACAAAACCATCCCTACAAGTTAAAGATGGCCTCGGAAGGTCAAATCTAGAAAGCAGAAACTCACACACAACTTCCTGTGAAATCAGCCGCCCAGAGCACGTTAACAGCTGCGTGAACTATGACTCACTCATTGCTCCCTCCGTGGGAACACAGCTGCCATCAAGCGAAGCAGAGAAAATCTTCAGAACAGGTTGGTCGCACATGTTTATCCCACAAAGGATTCACGTAGCAAAGGGTGCAATGCCCAGGCATCAAAGGCCTGTCTTAAGAAGCCTCAAATACACCACAAGATCTCTGATGACCTCCAGTGGTTACAACAGAAATTGCTTGCTTTATGGTCCCGGAGACTAGAAGGCACTGTACAATGGGATGATGGGTAGGAGGCTTGGTCTGTTATTTTTTTCTGGAAAGCTGCAAGGTGGGGTAAAACGACGATATTGAAAAATGCCTTCCTGACCTTCAGACACTGACTGCAGAGCCCTCTCCTAGGGCTGGGGAGATAACTCAGTGTTGAGAGCACATACAGCTCTTCCCAGGAGACCTACGTTCAGTTCCCAGCACCCATGGCTTACAGCAGCTTACAAGTGCCCATAACTCCATTTCCAAAGGATCTGACATCCTCTTTAGGCTTCCTTGGACACTCGTTCCCTACACACACACACACACACACACACACACACACACACACACACACACACAAATAAATAAATATTATTTAAATAAAAGAATCTTTGCAATACATTCAACACAGCCGGGGAGCTGTGTCCTTCCAGTGAACCCCCCTGCGAGGCCTCAGTGAACAATTTACTCTTTGCCCAGAGATGCAGGAATGAGAGGCCAGTGGAGAAGAGGAAAAACGAAACAAAACAAAATAAAGCAGTAATCTCAATGTAGGGAGAGCCGGAAGGAAGGATAGAAGGCAGTTTTGAAGTTCAAGCCCGTTTGACTGCCCCCACCTTTGGAAAAGTTTTGGTAGTTATATAAGAAATTGAAGGTTAGCCTCAGTGAAAGCAATGAACCCCAATCTATGGCATACCCCGAGTTTCACTAAGCAAACAGTAGGGAACACGCCACTTCCTAGAGTCTGCTCTGCACGCTTGATGGAGTTCCAGTTCTCTGTCCACTGGGTAAAGAGTTTCACTCCATGGACAAGGGACAACATCTCAGAAATGCCATTCAATTATGACCGTGGGCGGAAGTGACCAGCAGCTATCCCAGATGGACTCCAGGTCACCTCTTTGGAGATGAATCCAGCAAAACCATCCTTGCAGAACCTGCCACTGGCCCAGCTAGGTTCTTCAGTCAGGTCCAGGCATACTGAGGGGCTTTCTAGAATATAGTGGTTAGCCAAACATTTTTGAGTACCTCCAATTTCACTTACAAGAGCCCATTTCTTTCTTTCTTTCTTTCTTTCTTTCTTTCTTTCTTTCTTTCTTTCTTTCTTTCTTTCTTTCT